AGAATGCCTATATATAAAACAGTATATGAGATAAACCTTAGCTTGGTTAAGTGAAGATGGCATTGCAGAAAGGGACAGGCCAATGCGGATCCAGATAATTGTACCTTATGTGGAAATAGGGACGAAGAGGAATAGCGTATACATATTGGGGCAAAATATATTCTTAGTTACACTTTATTTTTAAACGGAACGTTATTCTTATAAAAACAATACTGAAAACTTATTCTTTCAATAATAAATTAATATATACAAGTTCTTATTTACCAACGATCACTTAGTTTCTAATGTTCGATTCAAATTATCTGACTGTGGCATTTGTCTATACTTGCACAGTATACTTTTTTAACGAAGAGTTTACCCCCAATAGCCCCCGCCCCTCATGCATGGTTTCATTCCTGTTGACAAGAAACGCGTTCCTGATATTAAAATAATAAATGGTTTAAAACTTACAATCTATTATAAAAATAGATTGTATTTTCTTGTCATTAAATTTACAGAAAAAAGGTACAAATCTCTGTTGAACTTAACGCAGTGTTGGTATTCCCGAAAACAAGAGGACTTTGTAGCGTCTATATAAAGTTCTTTAAAAACCATCTCTCTGGGTTTCAAAAGTTCTATCACATACAAAACTGGTCCTCCAAATTCGACCGTTTTCAACAGTGGTAATACCTACAAACCCGAGCCACAATCCTAAAGCTCTGATAAATTGTCATTTTGGAGCAAGATGATAATACCCGAATCATATTTGGTCCACGTAATGCAACATAACTGCCCATTGGAGTAATAAATAAAAAATAAAATAAAAGTAAAATTATATAATTTCTCATCTTCTCTTGCATAAAATATTTCTTTTGAGTTATTAAAATTAACTTATTTTTGTTACCTGAAATTGTTTTTATTTTATTTTCTTAACGAAAATAAGCTGATGATGTCCTCAATAGGTAATACTAATTAAATGTCCAATGATTTTTAAATAATCCTTTTTTTAAATCGCTATAATCGACTTGATTTCATTGAACTCGCTATGGTTGAAAAGGCGGGTTAAGCGTATCCTCGACAATGGTCAGACGATCTTACATTCCGGATCCACAGTTACCGCAAATCCACGGAAGGATCACGGTTGTGCTTGTATTCGCCAAACAACAGTCATATGAGCACAATGTTACTGTTGAATACATGTCTTTTACAACGCAGAAGTAGAACTATGCTAATAGTTGGAGGCAGTGCTTGGGAATATTTACAAGCGTGATAAATATACACATTGTCTGTGAAATTTTGCTCAGTCATTTCCTGCGCAAACATGCGTCCTCCGGTGCTCCCGCGTCATATACTTCAGGCCGTCTCGTAAGTGATTTACTGATTCTGATCTGTACGGTCGAACGGCGTGCAGAACGCAGTGACGATATTGCGTTAATACGGTGCAGAAATCATTTTTCTTGTGATGTGACGATCTTACAAACTCTTCATTACACGGTGATACTGCCTTTTTAAGGTGTTTTCCATTTTTTATGAGACCGTGTTTACTCGAATTGTCTGCAAAATAAAAATATAGGCCTATGTAATTATAATTTCTGTGTGTCGATGTACGTGTGTAAGCCTAATTCGGTTATTGGTATTATACTCATCTTCAACAGATGCAACAGTCTTTGAAAAAGATTGAAAACAACTTCGTCGGAATAACATTGTCTCAATTAAATTGTCGAACAAGAGTCAATTACCACAATTGATGTAATGGTAAATAATCTTTATCATCATATTTAGTAAAAAATATAACAACAAAAACATCAACAGCAATGAAACCAACACCAGTAACAACTACACCAGCAACACCAGCACATCAACAACCGCCACCGGCGACATCAACAGCAAGAACAACAACATCAGCAATAACAGCAACAGTAATAATAATTGATTAATTGAATAACAAAATAAAGTTTGAACGGAAATGGATGAGATAGTCTTATCTTCCAAAAATAAATAAATACAATCGAAGAGGCTCTCTTTACGTACCTGTTGTGGGCGACCTCCTCGATCGTTCTAATGTGTCATAGGTTTCAAGAGAAGTAAAGTCCAGGTCTGGACAAACATCTAAATCTTTGTAAATATTGCCAACATTTATCACGTTTTGAACATATTCATCCATGTTGCAAGGAACAATATCTTTGAATACACAACCAATGTATGCCTAGGACAAAAATAGAAAAAAAAAACAATCAATGGGCTTATTCGAAAGGTTCATTTCATTTTTTGTCGAGTATTTACCAGTTTACTATTCGACTGGTCGTCTTCGTAGTAGGATTTTACCACTGTGCAGATGGGCGTGGTTTAACGAAGGACGACCAGTCGAATACGGCCAATGATTGATGGAATTCGATAACGATTTAGCATTTATAGCGAGCAATTGGAGAAACAGTGATTATCGGCTTGATTCTAAAGGACTATTTATAACATCATGGATAGGAGGATAGGCTGCTTGATTTAGTAGTGAAAAGTTCATATGCAAAAAAAATCCTGTCACACCTTGACGTGTTATGTTTACCAAACGCTCTACTACATTAAATGTAGACCTACTCGAACAACCCCAGGTTACGCAAAAGCATAGAGCAAATTTAAACACACTCAGGGAAAACTTACTTGAAATCCTTTGCAGAAAGCGTCTTCATCTGTTGCCAAAAGATCCAAAACATCGAGGAATCTCCCGTCGCACTTTCTCATCGCTTTAAGTTCGCAATTCTCTGGGGGCGCTGTTGAAAATTAAAATGTTATAGATCATTAAACATTTGCAAACTTTCGGTTTAAACATTAAAAGCATATAAAGTAGGTCATCAATTTCAAATGAGACATAGATTATTGTTTTATGATTTACACACGTATTAGTTTGAAAATCCTGAAAATGACTGCCACTTAATTTTTAAGGGCCACTGTAATCATAGGCAGTAAGATTTTTAAGGTATGCAACTGCTAAATTCTGGGAAAAATATTGTATGATTAAAAAGCAATTAAATTATTAATCTTTAATTGCTTATTCTTCAATTAGCTCATCAACACATTTTATAGTATATTGGTGAGAAAAGCCTGTTTGCAGTTAATTATGATATACGAGGATGGTAATGATGATAACGACGGCGGCGGTAGTGATGACGACGTCGACGATGACGATGATGATGGTTACGATTGCAACAAAGATTGAATGTTATAGTATGGATTATAATTAGTGATGAGAACTGTTGGTGTGTTACAATGTTGCTATGCACTGTAATGAACGCAAGCGCTTACCTGACGACGTACCAGAAGATTCTGATTCGCTCTCAAATAACTCTCCTCCGGTCGACGACAATAATGATGAGGACGAGAAAACAAATGCTTCCGGTGAAATGGGCGCTTCATCCTCAACACTTGACATCGACGATACGTCGATCTCATCTAAGAATCCAAAGAACTCCGTTTTAGAGATTTTTTGGTCATCATTTTTGTCATATTGCTTGAAAATAGCAGTGACGTCATCGTTTAATTCTCGCGTATTGAACTCTCTGTATTCTGTTTCGGTGATGTAACCATCGTCGTTACCATCGAGGTCTGTGAAGACTTCAATGTTACCAGTAACTTGGGCAGCAGCCGACCGTCTTTGCCTGTAAGTAACAAATGCAAGATCTTGATTTGCAATTCATAATAATGCAACTGTTACACATATTATCTTTTTGGATGACTCAATTTAAATTAATAATTAATTTAATGTTGAAAATGTTGACATTATTAATGTTTTTATACGAGCAATGATTATTCTCTATATTTTCTATTATTATTCCCTTTTTTATTTGTGGAACTATCATTTTGATATACAGCTGGTATATCGTATAATGGCGCCCTCTGTAGACATTCTGCTACGCTAGACCATGAACTGAAAATGAACTTTTTTTTTTAATAGAAAGACAAGTATTATATAGGAGACAAAGTCAATGATTAAATAGCTTAATTAATAATTAATAAATTCGATCGGAATGTTCCAGAATTGAACGTTTGTTTGGTATCGATTCGATCAGGAGAGCTAAATAAAATATATTTTATAGGTCATCATATATGAGTTTAAACGACTGAAATTGGTACCGGTATCTGTTGACAGGCTGAAATATTCGCACTTTCATACGCGCGTGTAAATGAGGGCAGGCACTGCATCACAACCAATCGTCAGACGGCGAGGTCAGGATGTTTATTTTGTGACATGCATAAAAGGTGAATTGGGGTGGAATTGAATTTAATAATGAAGTCACCTTACGGAAGCGCATTTTTAATAAACATATTTGTATAACGCAGGCATAACTGCTATCGTCACCTTCAACACCCTATGTGCTCCTGGAACTTCAAATTTCAAAAAGGTAACAATTTATGTTAAATGAATTCACAATTGGTATTTGAAATATAATAGTGTTGCCTTTTCCCGACCGAATTAATTACGCGAGGAAAGTTATTAGAGACTGCCAAAAGAGTGATTAATATATGCCCAGTGAAGCGTGTGAATGAGGCGCGCATTCCGTTTTGCCTGGCAGCGTACATCTCGCACGCCCCGTTACGCACTATCAAAACTTGGGCTATCAATGCTATATTAATTAGTAATATCGAATATCACGTTAATTATATATGTTTATATAAATGCATAATTATTGATAACCGATATGATTGCAGTCTTTAAGGTGCGCTCAAAAACCGGAAACCGATGATAATGCTCTTTTGATTCCACAGCATATTTACAAACACATGTTACGAACAACTGTTTATCCTGTGTAACAGAAGTTTGTGGTAGAATGATAATTAGTATTTAGTATCATTGGATAATGCTTGGATTGACATATCTTACTACATGCCTATAATAATAACCAAGTAATTGGACGTTGACCAAAAAAAAAACTTCTGTCTCGATTAACTTGGTAGGAACTAGGGCTAAAAATCGTATATATACTTTATCTACGTCCCTCACAATTTAAAACATTCTAAATATAAAACATCAAGATCAATTAAAAGTATCACCTAAGTTATCAAATGAGACACCCATCAAATAATTCACAGACTTTTAACCGCCAGCCATTTAAGGGTCTTTTCTAGGATAATATAGCCCTAAAAAACAAGAATATATTAGCTTGATGTCGCTAGTATAGTAATATTATATTACTGACATGTAATAGTCTTAAACCACTAATACTAATAAATCAGAAAGATGTGTTACCTATAATTAAAGGAGGTTTGTTTTCGATCAGCGTTTCGTTTATTTTCATTATGTTACAGTTTAGGCCCTAAATATGTTTACAAATTCTAATATAAAGTTTAATATTCTTCCTCACTAAGGAAAAAAAAATAGAGAATTACCATTTTTGCTAGTATTTTTTTAATTGACCCATGACCTATTTTTCCAATGCTAGAAAATGTCCCAGGAAATTTCTGTTTATACAACAAAGAACTAGCAGTAGGTGCACCTTCCTAACTTTGATTTTTCACTTCAAATGTCGATTTCTATAGAAGTTTTCTGTTAGGCCTAATATATGAAATTAACCTAATGGTAAACACGATACATACGGATGTTCTATGCTAACGGTAGTTAGTCGTCAAAAAACACGACAATCTGCCGGGTATGCCGTTTCCGTCCATTTTACGTAACAACAAACATGTTCTATTTTTGCATTCGATACATCTGATTGAGCTTACCGTAGATGAATGGCCTGGTTCACCGCTCGTCGTACTCTCAGTCGTCGCTCAGACCTCCCAGCGAACATTTCCGCCACATCCTCCGGAAATAGACGGTCGTGAATGAACCCCGACGTCCCAACAATAGCCGAAAATACAACACATACGAAAATAATTGTATTCATTCTGAGGATTAAACAATAAAAGCGGACATTTTAAAATCGATGTATGTACATCCACCATGTTAATACACAGATACAGAAATAATTGATAGCGGGCACATGTCAGTTGCATGGCGCTGCTTTGGTATGCACGCTAGCTGACGCTAGTCACAATGTCCATGTGTTCTGTTTACGGTTTATGCCCAACTGAACATCGATTCCCAATGATCAATACTTTGAAATGACGTTGCAAGAAACGCTAAACCTATTTAAGTAACAATTTATGCACCCTACCCT